ATATTTATTGGAATCCAGCAAGCAGAGGGGAGGTAGAAATGTGCAGAATAGACAGAGGCTGCTTGAATACTGGTTCCTTTTTCCTTTCAATAAACGCTTTTCATCTATTACTCAAGAACCTCTGGTTTACGCACGTATACACACAAACTCTCAGACTGGGTAGTAAAGGATATGCGTTTTCTAAGAGCTTCCAGTACCTGTGCAAGCCATCTCTTCTTGGGATCCTAATACCGCAGTAAAACTTGACTTCCCTCCTCTTGCATCCTCCCTCATTCTCAACCAGCAATAATCAGAGCAAATTCTAGAACCCTCAAACTGTGTTTCCTAAAGGCTACATGCACAGCCACCATTGTGTCTACAGGAACGTTGCTCAGGTCCTGTGTTCAACCTGAGTCAGCTCAGCAAGGAACAGAGTCTAAGAATCCTAAAAAAAAAAATTCTCTGAGCTGAAACCAAGGCTCCCTCCCCAGAGGCCAGCAAGAGGACTACAAAAAGTCCCTCTCACCCTTAGCTTGCATTCCTACATGGCAAAAGGCCACAGGGGCTGGGCTTGACCGCCACTACCGTCTTCCTCCCCCTAACTCTGTGGAGCAAAAGCTGGAGTAGCTGAAACCACCAAGCCCAGACTCCTCTGAGGGTAGGAAGCCAGTGCAAGCTCAGTATGCCCTGATTACACTTTCTACTGTTCTAGGATCAAGCAGAGTTCCTGCCCTCAGAGAACTTTTAACCAAAATAAGAACACCGTAGAGACCCAGCTGACAGGCCAGGCTTTATCCCAGATAGTCTGACCCCCAAACAGGCTGCCAGCATCTCTAGAGGCACCTCTTTCCAATCACAGGCCCATCAACTCTGCCTTATTTTCTCTCTCCTGTAACAAAAGTGTTTGGGGCTGTTCAGGGCCCTCTTTTCAACTTTCTCTGAGGTCAGACTACATCTAGCTTTAGCTGCCTCCACGCACCAACACCCAGGCGCTGAAGGTTCCTTCATCACAGGGCCTGCCTGGCTGGCCTACAGAGTAGAGTGCAGCGGGTGCTTCAGGGGAGTGGTCTGGCTGATGACCACTTCCCTGGGCCCCACCCTCCACCGCCCAGCCAGGGCAGGGCCCCCAGGAAACCGCTCACTGCAGCTTTACATGGGCTCCTCCCTTCTGAGGTCACGCCTCCAGCTGAGAGGGGAAGCTGTTGAAAGCTGCAGAGTTGAACAGAGCTGGACTCTGACATCGAATAATGTCTGCCCACTCTTGTTACTCTAAACTCTGGTCCATGTGGACCCTTCTTAAAACTCCCCCCCGCCCCCAAGGCTGCCTCTGAGCCTCCATCACAATCCTCTAGCCACCTCTGCAGGCCCCCTAGAACAGCTCCTCCTGCCACCTTCCCATCTCTCCAGCCCCTCCCTCATCCTCCTGCCCCTTCTCCCCCTCCCCTCCTGCAAACTTATCTAATAGACATGGGGGGCGGGGGGCGGACAACGTGAGGCAGAGTGGAGAGGCCAGAGACTAAAGTGTGATTCATCAGGGCTGGCTGGAAACAGGGAATTCCAGAGCAAGGAAGGGTCGGGGCTGCCCACAGCCCCACCAGTCACCAGGCAAAGCAGCACACACCGGCATGTCCCACATTTTCAACTACCAGGAGCCTACGGACATGTGGAAGAACCTCCCTCTCGGAACAGAAAGTCTGCAATAACTAGGATTTCTATTTTCACCTCTGTCTAATTCCCCATTCCTGCCTAATAATTGAAATAAAAACTTCCCATCTACAGTCCTGAACATTAAATATCTTAGGCTAAACCCTTGCAGAATTTGGTTGGAGAAGTAACTAGACTGTCACTTCTGGAACACCTGTATAGGCTTTGTTAAGCACTTAACATACATCATCTCATTGTTCATTCTCACAATACCATGTGTGGTAAGTATGATGACTATCTTCATTTTACATGCAAGAAACACGGGCACAACAGAGTTTAGCATCACAACTAGTATATTGCCAGGCTTAGATTTGACCCCAAGTGTGTCCAGTTCCCCAGTGTGTAGCTTGAACAGGGTTTCAAGAAAAGGAAATCAGAGGTGAAAGGAAGTATCTCCTTCAGGCTTTCTCTCAAACATACCTCTGTCCAGTCGCTTCCCAGACTACCCCATCGAAAACATAATCTCACCCATTCCATATTTCACATCCACCTTCCCTATCATAATTTTCTGCTTATCATCCAAATGCTTTCTATTTCAATGATTTATCTTGTTAATTGTCAGCTTCCCCCACTAGACGTCAACTCCATGGGTCAATAATTGTTGTATATTTTGTTCACTGCTGTGTCTCCCATGCCTAGCACTCATACATAGTAAAACTGTTGAATGAATGAAAGAATGAATGAATGAATGAATGTCTTAAAACGGAACTAAGAGGCATGAGTATAGGAAGAAATAGAGAATGATCCCTCCATTCATGGCAACAAAGGGGACGAGAAAAGCTGGTGAGAAAATCTGGCCAGGGGCAGGTTGGGGGCCCCAAAATGAGCTGTATGTGCTAGAGGAAATGAGGGTCTGCCAGGTCCTCTGCAACTCCAGCAGAACCTCCCTGCTGGCCAGCGATTTCCAGCTGCCAGGGCCCCAGCCTGAGGGCTTCTGCTGGGGAGGGCAGGCCTGGAACAAAGGCCTATGGACCTGCAGCTGGGCTGAGAGGCGGGACAGAGCAGCAGCCTGGGCCGGAGGGGCAGCCTGGGATGGGGGAGGGGGGCAAATGAGGAGCTGAAAACAGCTCTCAGTGCAGCTGCAAAGGCAACACACTCCCAAAGCCCAGAGTCCCCTCAACCCCCAACAGAACAGAAAATAGCTTAGATGGCTCCACAGTTAACCCCCCTAGGCCAGCTCCAGCCTGGGCTTGCAGCAGCCCTCTATGTTTGAGCCGGAGCCTTTACCAGGTTCTCAGAGGGAGGTGGAGGTGAAGGGGCAAGCTATGCACTGGAACATAGTCCTTTACAGCTCCAACCCTGGTCATGCCTCAGGCCATGGCCTTTGGCCTTCTCCAGTGTAAACACAGTGACCCTGGGATTTGGTAAGGCAAATGTTTACTCTAGAGCCGAGATGCAACAGGCCAAGGGGTGTAAACTTTCACCATTGGCTCCTGGTATCTACCCTTGTGGCACATGTGAGAAGAACCCAGGAAATTATAAAGCTCTAGAGGGCTCCTCCTAGCCACAGTTGAGCCGTGTATTTTGTACAGGAGTTTATGGAGCACTTTCCACATAGGTGGCTCACCCCAACCTCTATGAGGAATTCTGAGCAAGCAAGTACCCCACTTTACTCATGTGAAAACTGAGTCAGAAAAGATATGTCACTTGCCTAGGTCATGGGGGGGAAAGCATGGATTACACAGAGTGGGGACATTTGAGTGCTGGTCCCTATTTAGCCAACAGGGGCCAGGCTCAAATCACCTCACATCTCTGGTCTCTGCTGCTTTCATGTAACTGGAATTAGGCTAGTCCCACATGACTTCCAGCCCAAGAGACTCTGTCAATCTTTGATACCATGCAGGAGAGTCAGGATTAAAACTCAGGCAAAAGTCCTGTGCTGGGCTCCCAAACTGGTGCTCTTTCTGCTCTCCTGTTAGGCACTTCTAATAAAGGCAGTAGAAAGGCCCTCAACCTCTTACTCAAACCCCTCCTTGTTCCTAGGACTAGGTTTGCCCCATCCCCAGAACAAGACACCCAGGCAGCCAAGGGGTTGTCCAACCCTCCCCACTAAGGGAGTAGAGGCAGCAGAGGCAGCAAAACTGTTAGCAGCAGCAGGAGGAGGAGATGCAGTGTCCCAGGATGGCAGCGAATGGGGTGAATAACAGAGAGAAAGGGTTCTGCCGCCCTAGGTTTTCCGCTGGGGATGGTTGAGGTGAAGTACTCCCGGCTAAATCACTAGATTCCACTCTCAGTACAGCAGAGGAGGGGCTGGGAAGGCACTTTCCGGAAGGGAGGCAGGTGATTTGCTCAGCAGGGAGCCCTCTGGGGGCTGTCGCTACTCTCCCTGCTTCCTAGTTCTTGGGCAAGGTCGGCGTGATTGGGCTGCATGCCGAGGCAGGGTTGGGGAGACAGCAGGAACCCCCAGCCGCAGGATTCGCTGTACGGTGTTGCAGTCCGGGTCGCCTCCTGGGGGCCCCAGAGCAGAGGCCAGGCCCCTTCATCTGCCAACAGTTTAGCGAGTGTCTTCAGAGATGAAACTCTAACAACGGCCACTAACACCGCTCCCCCCACCGCGGGGTCACACCAGTCCAGCCTCCCACCACTATATTTCTCAGCCCGTTCTTCCGTTTTTTTTCAAAAGCAGCTCCAAAGAATAAAGTAGCTATTTAAAGTTTTCTTGAATGTTCAAGTTTGCACCCCTTACCCTAGCTTCCCGAACCAAAGTACTGAGAATATGGAGCAAATGAACCAAACGGATTTGAGGAGTGGGCAAGGACGAGGTTAGACGGTGATTTCCGCGCCCGGACGCCTCACTTTTGGCACGCACTCTAATTCCTCCATAACATGAGCTGAGATCAAGAGCCAGTACCGAGTGGCACAATCCGGAACAGGCTGTTGGCGCCTCTCGGGCTTTACAGGACCACAAGCTCGGGTCCTGCCCAGGAGAGCAGACCCCGCCAGGCCCACAATCCGGGGAAGGACCAGACCTCGGGGGACCGAGTGCACAGGGGAGTGGGAAGTCACGGGCTTCCTAGGTTTTTAAACTGAATCTCTCCAAGCCACCCGGAGCGTTCGCTCCTTTTGTTCCCGGGGTGGGGGCTGAAGGACAGAAAATGTCTTCTTGCACGAGCCTCCCGCGCTCCAGCCCCGGGCCGGGAGGGTCGTCCTGGGAGGGGCCAACGCAGCTAAGGGCCTTCCTCGGGCGCCCGGAGTCCTCACCGCGCAGGCGGTTGAGCGGGTGTCCCGGGAGGGTGGAGGCCTCGGAGCGACTCTGGGCACTGCCGCTCCGTCGGCTGCCCAGGCAGAGGGAGAGGGGCGAGCCAAGGCACACTCACCGAGCGGTGGCCGCCCGCCGGTACGGCTCGCACGGCGCGCGAGGCTTCCCAGGTGTGGCGACGACGCGGGCGCAAGTTTGAAAGTCGCTCTCGGAAGGGGCTGAGGCTGCCGGCCTCTCCCGCCCACTGCCAGTCCCTTCGCGCCCGGGGATGTAGCCAGGGACGCGGCCAACTGCAAGCGCGGCCCCTGAGGACCCCCAGCCCGCGCGGCTTCCCAGCGCCCGGCAGGAAGTCGGGGCCGAGCCCGGGCTGCAAGCAGGAGGGAGGAGAAAGGGAGGGGACGAACCAGGAATTTTTCCAGTGGGTGGAGACTCGGGCCGCCGCTGGAATCTAGCAATTGGCGGCACGGCGGGAGCCCGCGAAACTTCGCGGCGCTGCGAGCTGAAGCCAGGGGTAAAGGCTGCTGTAGCGGGGCTGGTTCGCGGCTGATAATTAACGCCCTCAGGTGGGGCTAGCGCGTAACCCCACGGTGTCGGTCCCAACGCGCGCCAGCCGCTCCGGGGCAGCCTAAATGCTCCAAGACACAAAGGTGCACGTGGTGGGGGTCAACCGCTTGTCACATCCTCGTATCACCACCGCCTCCCGAGAGGACTCCAGACAGCCCAAAGGACCCCCATTATACGGACAGGAAAGGGGGCTTCTCAAGTGAGTTACTTGTTGAGATCCGAATAAGGGGTCCTGAAACCACCAGAGCAGGTCACCTTCGCTCTTCTGAGTGAGAAAGACTTGTCTTGAATTCTGCACCAAAAGTCGGTTCCCGTGACCCTTTGCAGATGTAAATCCAAGACTGTGAGAAGCTGACAAGAGATGATGCCGATTACTTGGAGGGACTCCACCGAGGCTGTTAGGAGAGGAGGAAATATGCAGAAACCTATGGTACTAGAAGACCCCATTTTTGTAAAACAAAGACAGACATCTTTCTGTGTATAACCATTTGGGCATGGAAAGATACACACGTGAAAGTGCGGGGGAGGGGACAAGGGCAGGCTGGATTCTGAGCAAGAGCGTACATTTAAAAACCTGAAATAATTCATTAGTGAAGGTCCTGGAAAAAAGATGCTGCCCCAGCACAAGACAAAAGAGAAGCCCAGGGTGCCACCCTGACAGAGGCTCCACTGGTTAGGCATTACTATTAATTCCTAAGAAGAAGGAAAGGAGCACTGGTACTAGAACCGCGGAATGTTTTTGATACCAGGTATAGGCAAGTATGCGTAGTAAACGCGCTTACAAAATTCTCATTAACAACAAATGTCCCCCCCTCAAAATAAACTGCCCCGGGCAAAAGTAAGCTCCAGGTGATTTGCAAGGAAGGGAGGGGAGGGGCCGACGAGGAAGGAAATGGCTTTCAGGTGACTTTGAAACAGGATCCTGGCGGAGGGTGGGGTGAAGACAGCGGGGCTCCTGGGTTCTGACTGGGGGAGGAGGTACACGGTGGGTCTGGCCAGCCCGGGACGCGGGACCCACATTCCTCAGGGAGGGAGGGTCTGCTCCAGCCGTGCTGAGCCCAGCACCGGCCGATTGGGAAGGTGAAAGTCGAGATTGTGCAAGGGGAGGGTTGGAAGTGAACAGCCACCATGGCTCTGCCAGATACAGCCGGCCAGGCTCCTAGCTGGAGGAAAAGTTGAGAAGGCCCCGTCCCTTTCCGCCTTTCAGACGGCAGTCCTTCCTCAGGCTTCCGTCTTTCTCTGATCCTGCGTCCTTCTCTGCTCACATGAATCCTTTCAATACCTTCCCCTGCCCACCTCATATTCCAGCCTCCAAAGAAGGCTCCTGATTTAATTAAGCCATGAGCACGCCCCTTAACTCCTCTGCCCGAGCAGGTAATAATAATATGACAATAATAATTACTCATTTATCAAATGCTTATCATTTGTAGGTGCTATACGATTTACATTGTCTCCCTCCGTCCTTACAGCCACTTACTGAGCGAGTGGCTGTTATCCCCATTTTACAGATAGGATAACTGAGGATGGCACCCCAGCCAGGACTGCATAACCAGCAGGAGTGCCTGACAAAATCCCAGACAGATCCAACACTGAGTGTTTCCTATGTGCTAGCCGTTATTCTAAGCCCTTTATTATTTTCCTTTTCTTTTAAAGATTTTATATATTCATTTCTAGAAAGATGGGAAGGGAGAGAGAAAGAGGGAAGGAATGGGTTGCCTCTTGCCCAAATCGAACCCAGCGAGCTTTCAGTCTGCAGGCCCGCGCCCAACCCAGTGAGCCATACCAGCCAGGGCTATTCTAAGCCCTTTGAACCAACAGTTGCAATCAGAGAAGAAACTGAGGCAAAGTAACACAGTAGTGTGTGGTAGATCTGGGATGCCCTATTCTTTTCTTTTTGACGCTTGTTTCACTTAATTCAGCATTTGATTATAATGTCTTGCATTGTTTCTAATTGTTTTAATGTATATATAGCTTATTTCCAGAAAAGATTGTCATCTTTGTGATGGCAGAAGTCATATAGGAAGCACTCAGTAAAGCAATGCTGGATTCAGATGAAATAACCCAAGCTGTTTGGGAGAAATCACACAGTCTCACATCTAAGAACGAGAACCTGTGTCTGGGCCCAGACGCTCCAGGCTGCAGCGCCCCCCCAAAAGCCTCTCTGCTTCCTGCCCCTGCCCATTCTTGCTTAAGTAGCCTTGCTGTCCCTGCTATTAAAACATTGTTTATTATTATAAAAACTTGTGCCTCAATAACAAATACAGACTAATAATTCATCTTCTTAGTACCCCCATTGAGATGGGGAGCTGGAGATCTTCTCACCCATTTGGGGGGTACGATGAGAAAACCAAGACAACGTGGAGTTGAAATGACTCACTATGGAAATCAACAGCAGGGTTTCTTCTCCAGGGCCTCCCCCTTCTTCCTAACTCTTGGCTGCCAATATTTGCATCAAAATTTCAAATCCCAGAGACAAAGGCCATTGAGTTTTCACAATAAAGGACATTTCCAAACTGTCGTTTCAGCTGCTCTATTGTGGTAGACCTCAGGAGTGGGAGGGGATGTAAACACAGTGAAGGCCGCTGGGCCGCTGTGCACCCAGCCCTGAGAAGGAGCCGGAGCTGGCTGGGGCTGGAGAATGAAATCCCCCAAATCTGAGAGTTCCTGTCAAAAGTGACTTACAAATTTCCACCATACTTGTAGGCATCAAAGCTTCCAGAGTTTTCACGTTGCATTTTAGCAATATTTTTCACTGTGTGAGCCACAAGCAACAAAATTGAACACCATCAATATTTAAAACTTTTATATGTCAAAGGACATCAGGACAGTGAAAACACAAAGAATGGGATAAATTTTTGCAAATCACATCTCTAATGAAAGACTTGATCTAGGATATGTAAAGAATCCCTACAACTCAATAACAAAAAAGACAAATAATCCAATTTAAAAATGGACAAAGGGTGTAAGTAGACATTTCTCCAGAGAAGATACACAAATGGTCAGTAAGTGCATGACATGGTGCTCAGCATCATTAGCCTCTATAGAAATGCAGATCAAAAACACAATGAAATATCACTTCAAACTCTTTAAGATGGCTAAAATCAAAAACACATAGTAATAAGTTAATGAGAATGTAAAGAAATTTGAACTTTGATACACTGCTGATGAATAAACTTTGGAAAACAGTCTGGCAGTTCCTTGAAATGTTAAACCATGTGACCCAGCAATTCCACTCTAGGTTTATGCACAAGGGAAAGGAAAACATCTATTCACACAAGACTTTGTACATGAATATTCATAGCGGCAGTATCCACAATAGCCAAAAAGTGGAAACAACCCCAATGTCCATCAGCCAATAAACAGAATGTATAGTCATACAATGGAATATTTTTCAGCCATTAAAAGGAATGAAGTACTGATTCATACTACAACATAGATGAACTTCAAAAAGATAATGCTAAGTGAAAGAAGCCAGTCACGAAGGTCCACGTACATAGGATTCCACTTATGAACTCTTCAGAACAGGCAAACTGGCACAGACAGAAAGTAGATTAGTGAGAGCTTGGGTGGAATTGCGGGAAGGAGGTTGGAGAAAATGGGCAGTGACTGCTAATAGGCTTGAGGTTTCTTTTAGGAGTGATAACAATACTAAAAACATGGAATATACTAATAAATGAAGTGTGTGGCATGTTAACTACATCTCAATAAATATATTATTTAAAAGAAAAAAGAAGTGTGGGCCACTACCACCTGTTTCAGGGTTACCCAGGCTACTTGTAATCATAATCCTATCAGAACCTTCTGTGGACAGAACCCAAGTCTGCATTTCCCTGGATCCCGCTGAATGAAGTTCAATGTAATATATGCCTTACAACACATTGACTAAGAGCCTTGTGGCTCCCAGGCTTCCTGAAATGAATAAAATGGAATGTCTGTAATCAACTCTAAGAGGGCAGTGACCTTGGAGGTCACTTATCAATAGCTTCTTTCCCCCTTGGACTCCTTAACGTCAGAAAAATCTGACATCAGAAAGGAGAAGATGAGGGGGCAGGGAGAGGAAGGCTTCTACCCTCCTTACTACACTCAGGCTAGCGCCGTTTGCTGTGGGGAGCTCTTGAAGGAAATGAGCTGTTTGTTTTGAGTTTTTGTATGCAATAGTAACATTTGCCAATCACTTGTGGTTTTTCAAGAACCTGGGAGCCACGTGTGAACCATTTCTGGAGATCACTTATGTTCACCTTTGTTATCAGCAGATAAAGGGGCTGTAAGTCAGCATTTATGTATAACACCTGGCACCAGACAGCTGAAACTAAGACATCAGCCTTTAATGGTCTTGGGGTCAATTTACATACAAACTTTACTTCTCTGAATTCTAGACTTTGGGCCAGAAATTTTTCTATTTGCACTACCAGCTGTAGATGGATAAATGGTAAGCCCAGCTTAATGCTAAAGTGAAAGGTTTTCTGGGCTGAAATGGTGTTTTGTGTTGTCTGTGTACCTCATTTGTCAACATTAATATCCCAGGTTTTCCACTTCTACCTGAGATTTTTCAAACCCGAATATTCACAAGAATCACCTGGGAAATTTCCCCTGACTCAAGACTGAGACAGACCCCAGGAATCTGACTGTTAATAGCAAGTGACTCAGATGCCAGAGAAATCCACCCACAGACCACTCTTTTTAAAAAACTGCCCTGAATTCTGCCTGGTGTCTTTTCTTCTCCTGGTGCTTCCTGTTTCTTCCCTGAAACAGGACTCAAAATAAAAAGCCTGCAGTCCCTCCCAGTGCTCCAAAGA